TGTGGGTTATTGTACTAGTACAATAATACACAGCTGTATCCTCCACTTTCAAATCATTCATTTGGAGGTAAAAGTTGGAACTATCTTTGGAGGCTGTAAATCTTCCTTGTATTGTGGGGGAATAAGCACTGTACTTCGGGATACGATAGTGTACCAGCCACTTCAGTGGGTTCCCAGGCTGCTTCATCGACCATTGCATGTAATGATTGTAAATATCAAATCCAGTTATGGAGCATTTGAGTTGGAGTGATTCTCCTTGATTCTTGATTACTGGACTTGACTGGGTGAGAGTAATCTGACAAAGGGCACCTGGGGGACAGAGAAATAGTCATCAAGTGATGGAAATTAATCACTCTATAAGAGAAAAAAGCTATTATAATTAAAAATGAAGATTATTTTTCTGATCTATACAGATAATCTGTGAGAATGAGTTGTGCTAATAAAACAAAAAGAAGACACCAGAAGTAGCATACCTTTCAAAATTGTGGTAATGAAAATTAGAAGGAGCCAGTTCATGATCCTGTTTCTGTTATTATCCCTTTGAAGATCTTTTTTTAGAAGAGACAGGAGGTCAAGTGTGAATGAAGCTTCAGCAGAGGGGGAAATTAATTTATGATGAAGTCGTTTGCATATGTTTTCCCTTTTAAGAGGTTTAAGTTCTTACTGCCTCACAATATAAGAAGATGGAACATTTCTTTGTTCATTTTTTTAGATCTGAAAAGTATATGGCCATACCACTGATGGATGACTGGTTTATCACCTTCTGGTGTGATTGTATGAACAGAACCATGTAGGTCTATGGTAGAAGAACATAATAAAGAATCTGGTAGCACCTTTTCGAACTAATGAATTTTATTAAAAGGCAGAAGTGATAGTCAGCTGATATCAGTTTAGCCATTCTATATTCCTGTCACAGTGAGCCTTATCTTACATCTTTTGATAGAATTTGAAAAAAAATGCCTTGGTAAGGCCACACTTGGAATACTGCATCCAGTTTTGGTCACCACGATGTAAAAAAGATGCTGAGACTCTAGAAAGAGTACAGAGAAGAGCAACAAAGATGATTAGGGGACTGGAGGCTAAAACGGTTGCTGGAATTGGGTATATCTAGTTTAACGAAGAGAAGGACGAGGGGGGACATGATAGCAGTGTTCCAATATCTCAGGGGCTGCCACAAAAAAGAGGGAGTCAAGCTATTCTCCAAGGCACCTGAAGGCAAGACAAGAAGCAATGGGTGGAAACTAACCAAAGAGAGAAGCAACCTAGAACTAAGGAGAAACTTCCTGACAGTTAGAACAATTAACCAGTGGAACAACCTACCTCCAGAAGCGGTGAATGCTCCAACACTGGAGATTTTTAAGAAGAGACTGGACAGCCATTTTTATATAATATCTCAAAGTTCCTTCAACTTGGAATTCCCATATGCATTCTCATCTGTATTTAGGTAATGAATTGCAACCATTTTCCTACCTCAGAAACTGTACTAATTTTTTTTAGGAATCACTTTATTCTGTCCTCAAAAGGATAATGCCAAATGAGGTGAGTAGCATCTCAAACATCTAAATAAATTGAATGTATAAGCAATCAATCAATGACTTTTAGCTCTGAGGCCACTCTTTCTAGACAGCTGCTCCATGTGGTAAACCAATGTTTCCTTGTCTATTTTTCTCCTCTCTTTGTGGTTTCTCCTATTTTTGAATTCTGAACATTTTTTCTGAAAAACATGGTGGAACAAGAGCTCCATCTACAGGAACTGCCTTCCAAGGGTTAGGCAAGAAGAGAGTTTTTACACGAGCTAAGGTTAGACTTTCAGCACTGTGTATCTCTAGTGTGATAATGGACACCTGTTTTCTTTCTTTAAATTGTCCATTTGCAAATAATTTGAGAGCTGCTTTTGGAGGCAGAGAATCTCCCTTTGATAACTGGAGAATAGTAGTTGTTTGTTGCTAAACCAAAATTTCCTGAGCTTTTCCTGGAAACTGCCTGACCCGATACATGCCGTAGCTGCTTAGGTTAAATCCTAACACAGAACAGATGAGTATTGTGGATTCTTCTGGTCTTTTTAACTGAATGGGGCAGTGACTGTAATGAATTATCAACAGCCAGAAGGGTTAAGTAATATCATTGTGTCAATAGCAAGCAACAAAATTAGTCCTCCCCAAATTTAACTTTTTGTTAAACATGTTATGGGTCAACATGTGAAGATAAGAAGAGATAAAAATTTACAAGGTAGTGTTATGGTGATCATCAAGCTGTAGTTGAACCTTATCATCACGATGAATGGAAGGGTAATAAATCTGTGATGGCTGGCAGACTGAAGGGAGTCCTTTTTTAGAGAAGGCTAAAAGTAGAGGTTTCCCCTGTCCAGTTGTGTCTGACTGTAGGAGCAGTGTTCATCTCTGTTTCTTAGCCAAGGAAGCCGGCATTGTCCAAAGATGCTTGGCTGGCATGACTACATCCCAAAGCACACCAGATGTTGTTACCTTCCCATTGAAGTGGTATTTATTTATCTACTTGCATTTGCATGCTTTTGAACTGTTAGACGAGCAGGAACTGGGGCAAGTAACGGAAGCTCACCCTTGAACCCAGGTTGTCAACTGGAAAACTCAACATTTTTAATTAATGAGCCTTTGTGCTTAGAAGTCTTAGAAGTCCCTTTCTTAGAAGGCTAAGAGTGGCCTTAAAAAATGAAAAGCAGATTTTGGTTTGCCTATTCCTGGAAGACATCCAACAGCAAAAGGATAGAAGGTGCTTCCTAAATCTCCTAGATAACAATAATAATAGATTAAATGTATATGTCCTCCAACTTTCAGTGATTCTGAGTGGTTGTGATAAATGCATGATCATATAAGGAACGCTTGCTGGAATTGAGTATGTCTAGTTTAATGAAGAGAAGGATGAGGGGGGACATGATAGCAGTGTTCCAATATCTCAGGGGCTGCCACAAAGAAGAGGGAGTCAAGCTATTCTCCAAAGCGCCTGAAGGCAGGACAAGAAGCAATGGGTGGAAACTAATCAAGGAGAGAAGCAACATAGAACTAAGGAGAAACTTCCTGACAGTTAGAACAATTAACCAGTGGAACAACCTGCCTCCAGAAGTGGTGAATGCTCCAACACTGGAAGTTTTTAAGAAGAGATTGGACAGCCATTTGTCCGAAATGGTGTAGGGTTTCCTGCCTGAGCAGGGGGTTGGACTAGATGACCTCCAAGGTCCCTTCCAACTTTACTATTGTTGTTGTTATTATTATTATTATTATTATTATTATTATTATTATTATTATTATTATTATTATTATTATTGTTGTTGTTGTTGTTGTTGTTGTTAGTATTATTATTATTATTATTAATAGAGTATCAGAAGAATAACTCCAGAAATGATTCACTTAATTAAACTGCAGGAGGAAGAACCCATTTCTGCACAATACCTGATAACTTTATTATCATGCCTTTATTTTTAATTTAGACACTTTTAGAATTCTTTATAAAATGTAATGATCTGTTACGGGTCTGGATGGGGAGGAACAGACTCAGGCTCAACCCTTCCAAGACCGAGTGGCTGTGGTTGCCGGCGCCTCGGCATAGTCAGCTGACTCCATCGCTGACTATAGGGGGCGAAATTCTGGCCCCCTCAGAGAGGGCGCGCAACTTGGGAGTCCTCCTGGATTCGCGGCTGACATTGGATGACCATTTGTCGGCCGTNGCCTGATTCACCAGTTGCGACCTTTTCTGGACCGGGACGCCTTGCACACAGTCACTCATGCTCTCGTCACCTCCCGCCTGGACTATTGTAACGCTCTCTACATGGGGCTCCCTTTGAGGAGCACCCGGAGGCTTCAACTGGTCCAGAATGCGGCCGCGCGGGCGGTGTTGGGAGGGACTCGTCGCTCCCATGTAACACCACTGCTGCGCGAGCTGCACTGGTTGCAAGTGGCCTTCCGGGTGCGCTTTAAGGTGCTAGTTACCACCTTTAAAGCGCTCCATGGCATTGGACCTGGCTATCTCCGAGACCGTCTTCTGCCACAGATTCCCTCCCATAGACCGGTACGCTCCCACAGAGTGGGTCTCCTCAGGGTGCCGTCGGCCAAGCAGTGTCGGCTGGTGACCCCCAGGGGGAGGGCCTTCTCTGTGGGTGCCCCCACCCTCTGGAACGAACTACCCCCCGAGATCCGGATGATTCCGGATCTCCTGACTTTCCGCCGCGCCCTCAAGACATGGCTTTTCCAGCAAGCGGGCCTGGCCTAGGGAGGATTTTAAATCAGGTTTTTAAATCGGGTTTTTTAATGATTAATTTTAACTGCACAACTCTAAATATTGGTTTAATTTGGTTTTATCTGGTGGGGTGTCTATGTTTTTAAATATGTTGTGAGCCGCCCTGAGTCCCGTTGGGAGAAGGGCGGGATATAAATCAAAATAAATAAATAAATAAATAAATAAAGTCTCTCCAGGCAGATTTAGTTTTAATTTATCTACATTCATGTGTGAAGAAGAATGGGCCCTAAGAATTGAAGTTTACAAAAATGTAAAGTCAAAAATGTTCAACCCAATGCAACATGTAGTAATTCTTATTTGTGAAAATTGGCATTACAAGAAGGCCATTATGGAAAATGGGTTTATGTGGTTCTTGACTTTACCGGTGAAGGATTTTATGACACTGAAATGTCACTATATTTAACTTTCTTATAGTTTGGCACTGTTGAGCAAAATGTTTAGGGTCTAAATCCCTTGAACCATGTAGATGGACACTGGTTCTCTTAAAAGTAGAAAAAGTCATTAGTAATTGCTTTTAAATCCCCCAAGGAACTGCTGAGGACACAAGAAGAAAGATAGAATAAGGCAATTTAGTTATGTTTTGAGTCACTTTTCTTGACAATTATTTTTTTTTAAGAAATCTTGCAATGAGAATATTATGGCAAGTTTGGGATTTGTGGTTCAAGAAATAATAATACCACAAAAGAGTTCCTCCATCTGCCTGTTGGACACGCACAAGAGAATGACTATGCTTAAATTTGAACAGCGATGGTTTTTGACCAGCTTGAAGGAAGGTTCCTGTCATTGTGTCTTATGCAATAATATGTAGCTGTGTCTTCAGCCTTTAAAGCATTGAGCTGCAAGATCACTTGGCTCCTAGAATTGTCTTTTGTGATGCTGGCCTGACTTCGAAAGATAGTGCTATAAGCAGTGCCTCCATTATGCCAGATGTCTCCGATCCATTCCAGTTCCTTTCCTGAGACCTGGCGGATCCAGCTTATTCCAGAGGTTCCAAGAGAAAATCCAGAAACTGTACAGGTGAACCTCATCCTTTCTCCTGGTCTTTTCACTTGAGCAGCAGATTGACTAATTGTAATTTCTGAAGTAGTGCCTGCATGAATACAAAAACAATTTAAAAATAAAAGTGTGTGAAAAAATACACAAAAAAATGGACACCTACCTAAAAACAAACTAGTTGATCTTACATGCTGGGAAGACAATGAGGAAATTTATCAACAGTTTCAAAGCCATGCTTTCAAGAAGGATAATGGAAAAGGTGAAATTCAATACTGTCAGGTACTTCTAATACTGTCTCCATTCTATTTAATGAAGACCATACCAGGAAGTAATTTACATGAAACAAATGCTACGTATTTATCGGCTACTCTGTGGTGTATATATTCAGTTTTGTATTGCAAATGTAGTTACATCACAGCAAGAAGATTACCTTTCCTTCTGGGATCTATATTCTGATTTCTTATGCAAAAATATTATGATATCATATAATTCCAAATAGATACTTTATCCACCTAAGTTGTCGCCTTCTTCTTCTTCTTCTTCTTCTTCTTCTTCTTCTTCTTCTTCTTCTTCTTCTTCTTCTTCTTCTTCTTCTTCTTCTTCTTCTTCTTCTTCTTCTTCTTCTTCTTCTTCTTCTTCTTCTTCTTCTTCTTCTTCTTCTTCTTCTTCTTCTTCTTCTTCTTCTTCTTCTTCTTCTTCTTCTTCTTCCTCTTCCTCTTCCTC